AAATAAAACAAATTTACATATTAGTGATTACTGAACATAATTGATATTTTAATATTCTATATATTATTATATATACAGTATATTAATGTTTTAAAATATAAACTGACTAATTTATTACCCCGATCATTATTTATTAGTGTTATGATTTTTATAACATTTTAAATTTATAAACTGCAAAAATATTGACTCAACGCTTATTTGTCAAATATCATATAAAATCAAATATATAAAATTTATAATAAAAAAATGTTTTGAAGCAATAATTTTTTACATTTCATAACCTGTATATTTTGTAATACAAATATTATTAAATGTATATTTATAATGTAAACACTATATAGAATTTTTAAAAATATTGTAAATATATCACATTAATTTTTATAGTGATTAGACAATATCGCATATTATATTTTTTAAGCTATTTGTATTATATATTGTATTTTGTACAACAAATTTATTTATTTATAACTTTGATGATTATATAAATAAAATAAAAAGTTAAAAATAATTGTCACACAAGTCAAGAGGTAACGCATTTTAATGGTATGTTTGAAATTTAAGTCTTCCTAAACTTAATCTCACAATTATATTTTATTTATAAATAAATTGTAAAAACTATTTTGCAATGTATACATGTTTGATAGTAGACATGAAATCCATATGATTTAGTTTTTATAGGGTTTCAGTTTTAAAAATTATTTTCATATTTTCATATTATTTGAAATAAATTTAATCCTTTTGTCTTATTGTTAGTTTATGATAATTAACTATAAATTAATTGTTTCAAAATTAGTTTATTTATTTAAAAACCATAATTATTTGTAAACTTTCATTTAATTTCATCCAACGTTTTTTTGGTTTGGTTTGGATTTTGAAAAAAATTTTGAACCGATTTTTATTTAAGACTTTACAAAAATTGTTATATATATTAATCATTTTATAAATAAAATATTTCCTATGTATTATTTGCTAATTTTTGTAAAAATATTTGCCACTCTTTCAAAATTTGTTATACAATTTATTAATAGTTATATAAATAACATTATATTAACTATAAAAATCAATTTATTTTATTATTAAATATAAGAGTTATTAAAATTTTAATTTAAAAAATATGTAGATGAGTATAAATTTAACTTATTAGAATTTTCAATTAAATACTACACTATATTATTAATCTTTAACAAATTAAAATAATATTACTACAGTATATCTAAATATACAATATATAACATTTAGTTTATTTAACAAAGCAATTGTTTATATCTTTTATAATTTTCTAATAAAGTACAGTAWATTTGGTTATATTTGGTTATATTTGGTTATATTTGGTTATATTTGGTTATATTTGGTTATATTTGGTTATATTTGGTTATATTTGGTTATATTTGGTTATATACTGTACATTACATATTAAATATGTAATATACTATAGAGTATGGTAAAACGCATATTGATAATTAGAAAATCAAAAATATCAAGCTCATTTTTTCAAACCTGATAAAAACAAATATCATTTATAAAAATAAGTTTTAATAGAAAATAAGTAACTATTTGTTACTAAAACAATAAATCAATTTTTATCTCTTATCAAAATATCACTATTGCAAATATCCTATGACCCTGCTCATATCTAAATCACCATGCTCATATTATTATAACTATTTTCTAGTAAATACAGAAAAACAAACACAAAAAAATCCTATGTTTTTGATAACAATATATTATATATTAGTTGAAAATAAATTTCATGGCATTAATCACAAATTTAAATAGTCTATCCATTTAAATGTAAATTTATTTTCATTTCAAGTGTAAAAATTAAATAAATAAATGGATTGTCAATTCACTAAATATTTACACAAAAACATATCAAATTTGTTTTATTTTGATTTTTATTAACTTATAATTGGGTTATATATAATATTAAAAATGCAATTTTTTAATGTAAATAATCCAAAATACTATATATTTTATTTAGGAAAATAAAAAAATTAACATAATTAAATTGTAAATTATCAATAATATTAAAATTTTAGAATATACTGTTATGTTATAAATAAATTTTTTTAAATTATAAAAAATTTCTAAATATTGTTTTAAAGTAACTTTTCTTTTCATTAATATAATTTAGTATTATATTGTATATTATTCATTATATTATTATAATAATAATTTTAAGATATTTTCTACACATATTTCACAATTTACGTGAACTAATTTAAATTTATTATAAACATATTTTATAAATAACTGTTTTGTTAATTTTAAAACTTATGATTTCTAATATAAATAACTGCAAATTCTTTTAAAATAATCCATTAATTATTCTCTCTTAATGTTTAATCTCAGTAGTATTTAAAACTAAATAAATAATCAAAAATATATTTAATGAGTTAATGGTCGGTCTAAAAACTGTTTGTTTAAAATTATTAACAAATTAAAATGCGGGTGAGAGGGGAAAGCGAGAGAGAGAGAGAGAGAGAGAGAAAGAGAGAGAGAGAGAGAGAAAGATTAACGTAATAGTTATGAAATCATTAGTGAATATAGAGATATTAGACAACAGGAAAGATATATCTCATTAACCATAAGTGTTGTAAGTGTTGTTTCAATGATACCATTATTTTTGCGATATTTCCTATAAGCCAAATGGGAATATAAATAAATTGTTTGGAGAATTGGTTGAAAATATTGCCATAATATATATATATATAGAAATTCTACAACAAAGTTGATGTAAAAGTTTTTTATCACATAAACGGTGTGAACAAACAAAAGTTTTTTAATATGATATAACCTTTTTTATAAAATAAAAATTTTGATAATTTTCATTTTATTATATACTTTTATCTATTGATATTTATTGCTTCTTAAAGATTATCAAATACAACACATTAATCGTTTCTAAAAAACTTAAGAAATTATAAATAATGGCAAAAAACTGGTGTAAATTGTCGATAAAATCAAATACTAATAAAACTACTAATTGGTTAAACTAGAGTTAACTTTAAGCTAATTTGAGATCATCTTTTAGAGACAATATAGTAATTGTTAACCTATAATATTATTTATTTTATATTAAAAGCTTAATTGATTGATTTGATTAAAATTGATAAATTTGATTGCTAAAAATTGTAACATTAAATATTATGTTTTACAATTTGTTGGATTATATTATAGGATATATATATAATTCTAAAAAATGATTTTTAACAAAAATTCCTTTTTATTTATTAAAACTTAACATTTTATTWAAAAAATAACAAATAACTAGATATAAAAAAAATAATATTAATAGTTTTAAGTTAACAATTTATTATATTGTTAATTGTATTGTAAAGAAAATTAGTGTTTAAAATCAATAAACTTGTTTTGATTAAAAAAATAGTTTTTAGCAAATTATTTAGGAAAACATTGAGAAATGAATAATTTTGTTTCATTATTAAGTTGTAGTAATTTGTGTAATACAATGTGTAATACAATGTGTAATACAATGTGTACTGTTTATATACAGTATATAATCTATTAGATACAGCATTTAATTGAGACGAAATCGGCAAAACAAACAACAATATTATTAAAGACTATATCTATATAAATGAAAAGATGATAAATAGCGCATAGAAATTGTGTGCTTTATTTTTGATGAATAAAAGATGAAAATATATAATAAATAGGATTTTTATTATTATTATTTTTATTTTTTTATTATCTGAATTATGTAGAAAATTACAATACATTTTTTATATAAAATCATTTATATTTGTTAGGTGTTTTATTTTATAAACATCTAATATAAACTATTTTTTTAATAATTAAATATATTGTATATCATATTATGACAAAGACTGTTACAACAAACAGATAATGCAAACAAACATAAAACAATATAATTGGAAAAATATATAAAAAGCAATTTACAATAATTTACACGTAAATTCACACTTTAAAATCAATTAATATAGACTAATGTATGTTAAAAACAACTATCGTATATAAAGTTTTTACTGTATTATAAACAAGTATTGAACACAATATTGAAATTAATATTTAATAGTCTCAAGTGGTGTCTCAACAATATCGTATTTTACGATATTTTCATGTAAATATAAAATTGTTATTTTAATTTTTATATTGAAATGAAATTTTTTTTAAATAAAAAAAATGTTTTAGTATACTAACATAAAAATATAAAAAGCCATAACTTTATTTTACATTTTGTAATAGTCATAACAGTATTTTTTATCAATGAATTATGATTTAAGTGTCTTTTTATAGATTATACATCAATATTAAATGACACTACTTATTGAAATACAATAATATATCTTATATAGATATCTTTTTATTATATGGATAATAAAGTATAATGTTTTAAAAATATATAAGCATTTGAAGAGTCTAAATACTATTAATAAATTGAAGACATATATCTTATATCTATACAAAATAAAGTATTTTATTAAAATGTCATAACATTACATCTATTTTAAATATATGATATACTATATACTATATATAGTATATAATGTTTTTAACTGAATTTGTAAGTTATAGAGAAATCTAAAAATTTATTGAATAAAAAATCGATCAAAAAAGCTACAGGTATTAACATTAGATAATTTAATTTTTAAATACATTAATTACAAATATATCATAGTTTTATACTTATATAAAGACAAAATTACTATTTATATTGTACCGTATAATGTAATGTATAATGAAAATTGTGGGATTTTACACGATTACATTTAGATTAATAATCGCCTACACATTATACCATTAAGTATTATAATGTTTATATTTAATTATCATTTTTTCTATTTTTATTTGTTACTATTATTATAATTATTTTTATATTTAAAAAAAAGAAATTCATTAGTAAAACAAATAAATTGTTAATTGCAAACAAATAAAACAAATTACTACAAATGTGATAAAAAAATATTAAATATTATTATTATAGACAAATGTCTTAAAATTTTATGATAAAAACATACCATCTGTTGATATGTCAATAGTTTGTAAGTTTGAAAACTCCCGATTCATTGTCACTAATAAAAACAAACACATTTTCAATACTCTTTATAGTAAAGTAGTTATGTATTAAAAGAAAAACATTGCACACAAATTAAATGATTGGGTTTACAGCACATTGTTGTTTAAATGCCTTACATTATTAGTGACAGTGCTTTCTCTCAAAATGTTTAACACAAAAATTGTTGTGTTGTGTAACACAAACGACAAACCTATGCTTTATGTGTGCTTTAGTTGTGTTGTTGGCCTACCGTTTCCCTCAACATTGTCAGCCAAATGCTAATGCAATGCATCAACATTGCGTTTGCGTTGACTAAACATACTGTGATATTTGGTTTGGTTTGAATATATTGCTATAATATTGTTACACAATTGTGAAAAATAAAGAAGAAAAGAAAGAAAGTAAGAGAGAGAGAGAGAGAGAGAGAGAGAGAGAGATTTGCTTTACTCAAAAGTGTTAAACTTGAAGATATAAGTAGTTGAGTAAATATAAATTAGGTGAATCTTTTGTTTTTATATTATATATTAGCATCACTTCCACTAAAAACAAGTAGAGCACAGGTAGTAAGGATAGTCACCCCCACTGACTTCACTTGACTATCATTTTGAGTGCTTAATGCCTCTGCAGGAGTTGAAAACTATATTTTATTTTTATTGACTCTTTAGGTGTTTAATAATAAAGTCTTGTTTTTAACAAAGTTTAATAAAGTATTTAATATAACAATAAGTTATTCATAAAAATATAAGTTATGACCATTTTTTTAAATAGAATTAACTTATGATATATAAAAAATAAAGTCTCTAATAATACAGTATTAACAGTATATATCACTCATATTAATCCTTCATATATAATACCATAATAATTTGATATAAAAAATTATTTATATATAATGTACGTTTATATATGATATGACTTAATAGTGTTTAATATTAACATTATATCGCTGTCCAAACTATAGACCCGTATTTTGATTTATGCCAAACATAAATCTAGTAATAATCTGAATGAATATATTGTATATGTCATTGTTTGCATTATATAATGAGAAAACCTTTAATAAATTAAAAATAATATGATTTATGAATAATGTGATCATAAATAATAATACTACTTATGTTTATTAAGTATTGCAATTATCAATGAAATGCTTACAGTTAGTAAATTATTATTATATTAATATTATTGTTATATATAGTTGATTTATAAATAACTTGTAAATAGTGTAAATAATCCCAATTTGTGATATTTCATGCATTCATGAAAAATTACAAGATTTTTCTATTATTTAAGTCTTACTAAAAATTATACATAATTTATTGCTTAAATATATTAATATTTCTTATTATTTAAACTTATTATTTTTAAATTAAAACATTTAGTTAGTTTATTTATTTTAAAAAACAAAATATCATAGAATAATAAATAGATACCCTATTGATAGTATGATAATAATATATACTGTACTGTACTGTAGATTATAGTAGTTTTTATAAYAACATTTATAAATACAATAATATTGTACACAATAAAGTTAGAATTGTGTAACACATGTACATGTATTTTATATAAAAGACTTAAATGTCAATTTTGTATATCTCTTCAACAATTTTTAACTTAATTGACAAATCATTGAATTAAAGTTCAATAGGGAAAAAAAGCAAACAGAGAATCGCTAAAAAATGTTTTTATCCACTATTTATTTAATGACAAAAATAATATAACAGAAGCCCCATATCAATAGGAATTTATATATATTGTACTATCACTTGAATATACTAATAGGGTATACCAACTATATATATATATATATTTATATTTATATAATATATAAATATATAGTCTTTAATTTGCGTGCTTTCACTGCGAATCAACTAATTATCTCGACTTTTATGTTAAAATACCTTACAATACAATTGCATGGATTGATGTCAAAACATAATATAAAGCACATAATGAATGTCAAAAGTTTCAAATTCTAGTGAACATCGTTTCGCATCTCATTTCCCAACGCTTTTCAATAGTTGTGTTGAGAAGAAAACCCAATTTTGTTAGAAACGGATAAGAATCTGACAAAAATCAGCTCAAAAATATATAAATCTTATTTATGTATCAAATAAATGCTAAACTTATTGAAATTGATTTATATTTGACTAAGTTTTTCAGTGTGTGTGACAAATATATATAAATGTATAGCAAAAATCTACAGTATTTTATACTGTATATATATATATATATAACATGCATTTTTTTGCTTGTGATTTGTCAACTTTAAATGCAATGGTTATATTTTATATACAATATTATACAGTATAATGTAAGTATCAACAACTAGAATATATTTACTGTATATATAGTATACACATAGTGTACATATAGTATATATATATACTGTAGAATACTTAATGTTATATTTATATCTGGTTATGTATACAATTTGTGAATACAGAAATGAAAACTTTAACATTATTTTATATACWTATTATTTTTTATTTTAGTTGAATATACTTTTAGCAATATTTTGCTATACAATAAAAAGACATAATATTTATCAATTGAAAAATATTAGACATCACTAAATTGCATATAAATTAATTATATAAAAAGTATCTGTCAAAATTTTATAAAATATAAATTATTTAATTTTTAAAATTATCATCCAAAATATATTGTAAAAATTTATTACAATTACTTAAATAATATTGACAAATATGGACAAAAAATAGAAAAATTTAGGAAATTTCTCGAAAGTTTATAAAATAAATATTTTTTATGGCATCCATTAAATTTGTAAATTAAATTTCTAAATTTCAAACATGAAATGTAAATATAAGAGCTATGAGTATGCTAAAATAGTTACAAAATAAAATATAWAAATTATTAAGAAATTACTGTAAAAACTAAAATCAAAGCACATCATAATACTAAAATATATCTAAAATATAAAAATATATAGAATTTTTAATAAAAATTTACTACTAAGAAATTTTTTTTTAAATTTTAATAATTTAATAATATTAGTCAATCTATAAATATTTTCTAATTCTCTTTTAAACTGTTTTCGTTTAAACTAATTAAGAAAAGTTTAGAATTTCTTAATTGCAATTTACTATAAGTTTCTTAAATATAAAATAATTGTATATTCATTAGAAATAATGACAAAATTACGTTATTTGTAACAAAAATTTAAATAATTTAAATATATCTACAAATATTTGTCACAATATATTTTGAATTCGCTGTATTGCCAAATATTTTTTTAGTTATATACTATTTTTATTAAATAAAATAGAGTATTCAATACAATCTAAATAATATAATTAAGTATTTTTGTAATTTGTTTGACAGAGTAAAAAAAATTGGAAATTTTATAATTAATAAATATTTAACAAAATTGATCAAAATTATTTATGTCATTATTTTAAGCAATAAGAATTGCTTAACAATATAAACATTTATTAATATATTGATACTTTAATTTTAAGAATTTTTAATCAAAATTAAATAACTGTTTCGTGAATATGTCTAATCCTATTACAAGACATGATTGTTATAATAAAAACATACACCTCTTATACAGTATAATTCAAATCATTCATCTCATTGTAAATACCAATAAAAACATACCAATATATATATATATAATCATAGAAATTTAGTGCACACAATAGAAGCATTAAATGCAATAATAAACTAACATTATTTTATAATAATTTAGATATTATATAATATATATACTAGTATTCATTTATACTAAGATAGTTAGTCTATGTTATTATAATTGTAATGATAATGGGATCGCCTATTTCACTCATCACTACTGTTTCGCTCATTTATTTCGATTTTATCACTTTTATGAGTGTCTATATATATATATATATATATATATTATATTTTGCCAGTAATTTGTAAATGACAGACATATAAATCGTATTTATTGGCCGACAAATGCTTGAGATTACCAAATATTCAGTCTACTATACTTTTAATATACATTACATCCTATATTATCTTTAATATATATATAATAAAACAATGATACTTTCTCTCTAGTTTTCAATTTTACTTATTATTTAATATCAAATTTTCTTAATTTTGTCACTTAATATAGTGTTTGTTTAATTTAAAATAATAATTCTAACAATATTAAGTTAAATTAATGCATTTAATACAATATTTTTTGGTATATATATATATATCTTAATTTTTGAACTTTTTAAATACCAATAGACTTATATTAAAGTCATAATATTCACTTTAAGTCACTTTACTGTAGTATAATAGTAAAAATATAATGTAAAGATAAGTGCATAAAGAATGAGAATCAGTTAATTGTGTTTAAAATTAATACTTATTGATTTAATAAATTAAATATGATTGCAAATGAATTTAGTAATATATTAAGTCACAAAACAACCAAAATTAGTAATTAATTATTGTCCACTTGGGCCGCAATACATTTTTATAATCGGGAATTCATAGTCCCTATTAAACACTCATATGTTTTCTATGTATTCTCAATATAGATACCCGATTAGAAAAGTGTATTTCGGACAATTGGACAAAAATCAATTATAAATTTTTTATTATTTTGTGATTATATACATGTTAATAATTTGATGTGCAATAAACAAATATTTTATTAAATCAATAACTATTAATTTTAAACACAATTTAAAAATTATCATTCTTATTGCACTTATCTTTATTAAAGATAAGTGCAATAAGAATGATAATTTTTAAATTGTGTTTAAAATTAATAGTTATTGATTTAATAAAATATTTGTTTATTGCACATCAAATTATTAACATGTATATAATCACAAAATAATAAAAAATTTATAATTGATTTTTGTCCAATTGTCCGAAATACACTTTTCTAATCGGGTATCTATATTGAGAATACATAGAAAACATATGAGTGTTTAATAGGGACTATGAATTCCCGATTATAAAAATGTATTGCGGCCCAAGTGGACAATAATTAATTACTAATTTTGGTTGTTTTGTGACTTAATATATTACTAAATTCATTTGCAATCATATTTAATTTATTAAATCAATAAGTATTAATTTTAAACACAATTAACTGATTCTCATTCTTTATGCACTTATCTTTACATTAATGTATAACTTTAATGGGAATATGCGTACAACATTTATTGATAAAAATACACATTTACTTATATACAGCTTATATTTTATAGTATTGATTAAATCATAATATGAATTTTAAATTATTCAAACATTTGTGTAAATTTTTGCA